TTTTCCTAACATAACCTAACCTTACGCAAGTGTTAAACCTTGATTTTTTCTAACCTAACCTACCATGACATATGTGTTAAACCTTGATTTTTCTTTTACCTGGTACAGTATATTATTCTCTTATTGATATTTCTCATCTATATTATGTGTGTGTGCATACCATCATAAAGTTAAGATGTTATTTTTACTAAAACGTACGTATTGTGTCGGGAAAAAGTGGAGTTTGGGGGTCGGCCCAGTCTCTATTTCAATTAATCCCATATGTTCTGTTGTTCACTTTACGCGTTTCCCGCTTTACGCGGGCCTCCGTGGGTTCAATTGACCGTGTAAAGCGGGGTTACACTGTATTTGGGAAGTGACATCAGCTGTGATGATAGATGTATGGAAGAAATAACAAGCATAGGTCAAGCAAAAACAGCATGTAATAATGTAAAAGACCTAATGAAGAAAAGACTAACTTCAATCTGAGAAAAAGGCTACTGAAAGGCTTTGTATAACAAAGATAATGGGTCAGAAGTGCGGACACTCATCAGACACCAGAGATTGGAGGCCTTTGAAATGTGGCATTATCGGCAAATGTTAAGAATAAGTTACACTGACAGGAAAACGAATTTAGAAGTACTGTACAGTATTAAGGTTAGCAATGACTTCAGGAGAAATACTTCAAATGAACATAAAACGAAAATTTAGATACTTTGGTCGTATAATTAAGGATGAAGGGATAACAAATATTAATGGGCAAAGTTGAGGGTAGGAGGGCCAGGGGAATGCAGAGACTGGGATGGATGAATGAAATTAAAAGATGGATCCCCAGAGAGATACAAAATTTAGAAATGGTAAAAACATCCCGAAAACATTGAAAGTGAAGGATTACGGCCGCCAGCCCTCAGATATGAGGACGGTATTCTAATTGATTGATTGACTGTACATATGTCAATTTATGGAAACAGAAAATGCCCTGTATTCTGTAGTAACAAGTAAGGGGTCGAAGGTTACAACACTGCCCTTTTATAAGTAGAGAGGAACAGAGTGCACGACTGAACATGAACATATCCAGCAAGTGTACTATTCAAGATGTGGAAGTGTTCTGAGAAAATATGATGTTTGGTCAAACAATATAAATCTGTAAGCATTTTCTCACAGACTTGTTATTACAAATGGGGGAAACACTTTTGGGTGTTTTTTTTTTTTTTACAATTCACAGAAAAAATATTAAATAACTATCAAAAGAGATACTTTACAGTACTGTATACAGTAGTAGCAAGTCTAAACAAACATGAATGTTTTATACAATACTGCACTGTATGAGTCACAGAAAACCAAATAAGAACTAAAGTTTTTATTAATTTAAGTTTGACTACAGGATATGTACAGTACTGTGCAACATCCTTGCTGTAATGCCGTATACAGGAGCTTGGGCATGTATTAAACTGTTACACATCACAGGAGCATAGGCAGACAAAATTTTTATTCAGAAAATACAAAATTACTGCGTCAGGCAGTAACAAGCAACTCCTACAGACAAACAGGCTCCAAAAACATTATCATAACTTTGAAAACTTGAACTTGCACTTCATTGTGAATGAGCTAAATGCAAAACTTTACTATACAGTGGGGTATGCTATAACGAACAGATCCTACTACGAATATTCCTATAACGAACGGTTTTACCTATAAAATTGAGAATGCTATAACGAATGAAACTCCTACAACGAACATTTAAAAAAAAATTTTTTTTTTTTACTAATTTATTGTTTTTTTATTACAAGTATTAATGATATTCTTTATTTCAGGGGTTTAGATGCATATTTATGCACTTTTTTACAATTTTTACAATTTTATATTATATTTTTCAGTGTTAAGTGGTTGTATTTGGGGGCCTGGAACGGATTAATCCTATAACGAACGAATGCTATAACGAACAAGGTTCTAGAACCAATTAGATTCGTTATAGCATACCCCACTGTATAGTACAAACCAGCACCAGGTTGGAGGCAACAGTTCTTTATTTTCTTTAAGATATGATGAACCAACAAGTACAATACTGTACTGTACTGTACTAAAATCACAGTTTTAGGTCTCACCATCATCCAGAACATGATATGCATCATTTTCTGTTATGATTACTACAGGAGTAAAACAAGTGGTTCTTCGATTGGATTAGCAAAGGTTCTTAAGATAGATATTTCTTATAACCAAAAATGTGTGACCACTCAAAGGGAATCTCACCTGTACAACATTACCCAAAAACATCCTTGAAAATTTTCATAAAAAATTAAGAATGAGGACTTACCTTAATTGTTGTACAAGGCTCGTCTTTAAACAGGTCATACATACAAATCCCAAATTTTTCTTTTTGAGAATCATGGTTCAAGATTTATTTACATATCCTTAAACTAGAGTAAATATCCTGTTGCTTGACACCAATACAAGAGATAAAAGGAAAAAAGGTACACCAGCTTTAACCCCTGCACTACAGGGATGCCACTTATAATATTTTATTTGGCCAACACCAGATAATTTTATTCAGCTTAGAGTGACCCTCCACACAAGGGGTTAAATGGGATTGTATTTATAAAAAAAATTAAATAATGTACTCCTTACTGTACCCCAAGTACCTCATATGTCCTATCATTACAAAAGCAAAAGAATAAGATACTGTACTTTAGATATAAAGACATGTGTAGATTAGTTAAAAGTTCAGTTACAGTGATTCTTGTGTGGTGACTATCATTAAATGCACTGCTTCAATTTAGATGTGTTTACAAATGTACTATACAGTACTGTACAGTACATGATTACTGTTGTATGATACAGGTGCCAGTTCAAATGTGTCATCAATTTTTACAGTATCTGACTGATCACACTGTAGTTCATAGTTATACATACTTAAGTCATGGAAACATGCACAGTCAGACAAAGTCCAGCAATTATATAATTATGGATTTTCAGATACATGCTGAGTGTCAGTGAATGCTCCACATCAATACACAACACAGTAGTGACAGGCACTCTAAGCCTACGCCTCTACAACACAAGTCCCTCAAGACCCAGAAAATTAACCATTCAAAGGGATCACTGACAATGACAGACATACTCAGTGGGTCATGACAGATATTGTCATTGGGCTATGACAACTACACTGCCAAAAGGACATGTCACAGACACACCGTCAGAGGGCAACAAATTATATCACCTGACTGTGAGAAGCAACCCAGCTAAAAACATATACGTACAGTTAATGGTCCAAACAGACATATAAATACAATAGTGGGTCATAACATAGATACATTGTAACCAGAGGTGCAGGGCATACGTACAGTCAGAGCTATGACAAACAGAGGCTCATGACAGTAAAAGGATCGCGACAGGTACAGTCAGGGGGGCGCGACAGGTACAGTCAGGGGGGCGCGACAGGTACAGTCAGGGGGGCGCGACAGGTACAGTCACAGCCAGTGGGCCATGACAAACATACAGAGCCATGACATATGACAAAGTCAGAGGGCCATGCCACAGCTATGATACAGCCAACGGACCATGGCACAGCCAGAGGGCCAAGACACACACATAGTCAAAGAGTCATGACATATTACAGTCCAGAGGGTCATGAGTCATACAGAAAAGGGCCCAGAGCCATGACATATCAAAACATACATACAGCTAAAGGGCCATGCCAGATACAGTTAAGAGGCCTCTGTTTGTTAATGTTTGAAATAAGGCAAACAGAGTATAAGGTTTTATATCCAGAAGAGGAAGTAACAGGAGTGCAGAAGTCATATTGAAATTATATCTTGTGCTAGTCAGGCCGCACCTCGATTATGCTATTCAGTTCTGGTGCCCTTATTATAGTGAATATCAATTCACTGGAGTCGGTGCAGCGAAAAATGACAAAAATGATTCCGGGACTTAGAAGCCTTCCATATCAAGATAAATTACAGAAACTAAACTTGCATTCCCTAGAAAGACGAGGAGTGTGGGGAGATATGATATTAGTATTTAAGTGGGTGAAAGGAATCAATAAAGGGGATACTGTATAGATAAAGTTCTTATAATATCCGAGCAGGATAGGACTCGGAGCAACGGATTTAAGTTGGATAAGTTTAGGTTTAGGAGGGAGATAGGAAGGAACTGGTTCACAAATAGGCTAGAGAGATTCATGGACGATAGAGAGTGGTTGTAACTCTCGACAGGAGCTGCCATGCACAGGCCAACCAGCCTATTGCAGACTCCTTATTTTCTTATGTTATGTTCTTAGGTTAAAGGTAACTAGAATGACCATAACACAGTCACAGGACTTCTGACTTATGAAGACAGTCAGGGGCCATAACCAACACACAGCCAGCCTTCCAATAGGCCAGAGATTAAAATATTCCTACAGTCACAAGGCTTCCAAGACAGCAGCCCAGACAGATCATCACAGTCAGTGGTTCACCCAAAGTCAGTAGATCACACAGTCAGCATGCTACTCAAGGTGCACAGCTGGTCAGAGGGCCGTAGTGCGCAAACAAACAAACAAACAAACAAAAAAAAGGAAGGGGGGGGGGTTGGGCATACAGGCCAGAAGTGAGTCATGGAGCCATACCTACACACAAGGCCCCCACACACATTAGGCCTTCACGTGGCCACACAGTCAAAAAGGCCACACAAGAGAACCACACAAACCCAAAATTGAGGCAATAATGAGTGTGTGTTGGGGGTAACATAGCGCCAGCTGTTTTGGGTTGTGTCCCGGCTCAGGCGTGTCGATCCCCATAGGCGTGTTCTGGCAGGCGTGTCCCACCTGCTCTCTTGTCACCACACATGCACATACAATGTCCACTTGTAGCTGGCAACAACACATAGGAGGGAGGAGAAGCAGGAATGGACCAGGCGCCACTTTCATACATACATACAAACATACATACATACACACACTCGACGTGGCACGCACACACACACACACACTCACACACCACCACGGACATGTTGTTCAGTCAGCCACAGTGGTAAGAGATACTTACTGTACTGTAGCCAGTGGGTCCGTCCTAAATAAAACCGCTCGGGCTAAGTCGCTCCACTGTGAGGGCAGGTCTGCAACACAATAAAAAGAATCCAGATTTAGTCCAGGGCGACGCTGGTTATAGGGATAAAATAAGATGTACAAGAGACACCACACACACCCCGCTCACCTTCCACACGCTGAGTGAAATGCCAAGAGCCAGACGCAGACGACACATACGACAGCGCGTGTTTGCCAAATCTATTCCTTCCTGGACAGTAAAAATATGTTAAGATTTCCCAAGAAAGTTTCATCAAATGGTGGCAATTTACTTATAATATATGGAATAAATAAGGAAAAAAATATTTAATTTATAAATATTTGATCTCTCAGGTGTGTCAAGCCATTGATACGAATCTTATTTCAAATATTGTGTAATAGTGAGGTTACAGAAAACTGGTAGTTAATAGTAACTGTTATATTATTAATTTTATTTTAAATTTGTTATATACACGGCAAACCAACTAAGAAACTAATTCTTTATATAATAGGCTATTGAGATTTGGCACCATAGCAAGGCAGTGAACTTTCGCAAAATACTTACCACTTATGGATTATAGGGTTATTTATATGAATGAAAATAGCACCAACATTAAAAAAAATATATCTAAATATATGTTAGACACACGATTACCCTAAAAATTATTTCAAATGATAGAGAAGTAGCCCGAACAGTAACTATCACCGATATATATTTTAAACATTATCGTTATTTAAAGGACAGGTATAACTTCTTCATAGATTTGGGGTAATAAAACAAAATATGTTTGATTAAAATTAGGTTTCAAAATTTCAATATAACGACATTAAAAATTTAATCAAATATTAAAAGTATATAGAAAATTAATATAAATAACACTTCACTTGCCACATTGTAAACTGTTTCGGACAACCTTGAGTACGTCACATCCTTAAACCTTCGACTTCTTTGGTGTCTTATTTTAAAGTTTATATTCTGTGCCTAAATTATTGTATTTTATAATTTATTTAAATAATTACGTCAAACTCAGTGTGTAAAATATATTAAATTTCAAATCTTCGACTTCATTTAATTTACTTAAATACAGGAGATCCATTTTCTTTCAAACGTTTGAGGGAATACTAATAAGATCGACAATAAGTATGATTATTTCCACTAATACTTGCAGCAATCAACTTGGATTGCATCCAGAGGGAATCTGCATTATTGAAAATAATACCATGAATAAAATTAATAAGATCTCGGGACGAATATTTTATTAGGAAATACGTCAATAACAAAATACTGGATAAAAATCGTGTATATTAATTATTTGTTTTACTTGTTATAAGTGTGTCATATAAGAAGGTCGTTCAGTTATGTAGACGGTCCCCCTCCATCGTAACGTCCTTCAAGAGTCTAATGTTGTGACGGCACCAAGTGTGAACTGTTTTAACTCTTTCAAAACTTGACCAACCTAACGAGCCAATCTGTGGCAAAGAGGATAAAAGTAAGTAAAAATTTGACCATGTGTTCTCGAGGGTTGTATGATTTTCTCGGAAGCCTCACAATTCCTGTTACTATCAGGTTAGACCAGTCATGACCAGTATTTTATGAGCCCCGTTGTGGATACCTTTTAGCATCTTTCGTGGTTTATCCTTGGTTTAAACGACTTAATGGTTGCCAACATGTATATTCCTACGACTCTTGAATACCCATTATCTTTTCTGTCCCAAGATAAATTCACAGTCGCCCATCATCCATACTGCATTCAGTATAATTTAGATTTATTTATTACAGTACGAAACGAAGTGTATAAAGTACTGCAAAGAAATTTGAATCAAGCAAGTCTCTCACTTACAAATGGGTGTATTACAATTAAATTATTAAAGTGTGACTGACAACAAGAGGCAAGTTGGCAACTGGTCACCCCAGTAACAACACCTCACCCGGCTCAGCTGATCCCAGGAGCACTACTGCTGGATACGCTTGTATACTGTATACTAATACCGCCTAAAAATATATAAAAATATGGTACAGAAGGAGCTTACATTGACGACTTCCACATTGACTACGTTTATGGCTGTGGCCCTCTCCTTCGGGTTCTTCTGTGGCTACAAATTCAAAAGCTGGAGGATAGAGTGGCTCAAGAGGCGTCGTGAGCGGCTGCAGAGGAAGATACAACAGACACAGGCTGAGATTGACTTGATACAGAAGTCTTAGAGCAGAGATGTTTCTTGTACAAGTATGGGGTAACACGGCTCTATCCTCCTTTATGGTTATTTATAATAGTGGGTTAATGAACATTGGTACTGCCTCTGCTCTGGATTTTTTTTATTGTTACTTAATCCAGTCTACTAAATCTCCCTAGCCATCTTTTGATCCACCAGCTCCCGTCATTGTATCATTTAAGTTTAACTTTCAAAACTTTAAGGATAGACAAGGTTAATGTAGCGCACAGTTAGTACCTTGTGGTTATATCATTATACTCAAGGGGTTGTTATTGTACAAGAGTCATTAGATTCAAAAGGTAGATATCTTATCAGTTGAACTGATTCATTGTGCAGCATTCAGGAGGTTGGCACAGTACTATATTCAAGGGTTTGCTTAAGAAACAAACTAGTTAGGTGTGTACAGGTTGGTATTAGTTTTCTATATAGCCACTAAGTTGGAAATACAGTTCTATACAGAGAATGAAGTTTTGTAAAGGTTCACTTATTAACTGTAGATCCGTTGGCTTATTTATCATTGTTTTATGGCAGAATCTTTAACAAAATGTTTGTTTTAATCCATAAATTGTAAATCTGGTGAATGAGCAAGGAAAAGACATTGAAAATCATTCACAAACTAGACCACAAATTCTAATGAAACCTAATGGTCTTTTAGTATTCTTAGCCACTTCACTACACAAGACTAGTTTTGAGGTTTTGTTTGGGTAATGCCAGACAATTTTATTCAGCAAAGAGAGACCTCACCTCCTTTAAACAAGAGGTTAAGTAATTATTAACAACAATCATGATTGGGTGAATTTATTCCAGACACTACAGTACAGTACTGTACAGAATTTATTGTGATACTGACAAATTGTTGTCACTAAGGAATTGCACAAGGCTCTAATTATAAGTAAAAATATAGTTAGGATAGAAGAATATGAAAAATTGATCCATTAAGTATACTGTAAACTACAGTATTTGGAAAGGTGTTAAAATAATATATTTTTTGTGTTTCAGAACAAAGCTTCTCTTGGGATGTAAATACAAGATGTGTTAATACTGTACCAAGGCTTTGGGAAGGTGCTGTGTAGTACCAGTAGCAAAGGTGGTGGTAATAATGCTCTGACATTTTATTTAAAAGATATTTGCATGAAAATACATAATCACGATATGTGATATTTATTCCCTTGCCAGTTTTCTGCCCAATTGTGAAGTATTGTAATTAAATATTTCTGAAAAAGGCAAATAATTGTACCAATACAGTACATTAAACACAAGAAAAAACAGTACAGTACAGTACCTGTTTTGGCTTAGACACTGCTGTGCATAAAAAAGAATCAAGATTATTTCTAGGTACAAAAGAGACAAAAATATCCTCTTGATAAATATTCCATTCATTTGAAGTCTTAAAATAACAGAAATTCATTCACATTGACAAGGGTATACAGTACAGTACAGTACAGTATACAGTAGTAATTTTTAAAGCCCACGACTATAAAGACAAACATCAGAGGCTGACTGCATCAAGGAGGATTAGAAGACATCATTATGGTTGAACCAGTGGTGGTCGTCCATGGAGGAGCCTGGGCAGTACCAGAGGAATTATGGGACGAGAGTCTTCAGGGCGTGAAAGCAGCAGCACGTCGAGGATATGGGGCAAGCATTCATTGCTATTGTGGTGTTTGTTGTACTGTACTAACTGTGGGTGTAATAGTAATCCTGTTGTTTAATTTGATTATTTCACATAATTTTTATGGTATCACAAAGCAAAAGCTACAATTTCCGAGCTTGTACCCAGCGTATTGTTTAGTATTTGTTATTTTAAGTGTGTTAATTATTTTTGAAAGACTTAATGATTTCAATTATCTTTTAAGAGTAATGTCCAAATATATAAAGTTACAGTACCCACAAGTTTCACAATGGAATTGATGTAGCAAAGGTAGTACAGTACATTGGATCCAAGTAGTATAGAAATCTTGATCAGTTTTGTTTTATGATGGTGAATGGGTTTCTTTGAGTTTGTTATGGGACCTGATCTTATTCTGCTCATTCCACATATGCCACCATTCAGTTTGTTCCACTTATTCCACCTGGTCCACTTACTTCAAAATGTTCCCCTTATATTAACTGTTTGACTTAATTCATGCATTCCCCTTACATCAACTGTTTCCTGTATTCCACTTAATTTGTCTGTTCCTCAGATTCCATCTACTGTACAGTATTCTATATACTGTACAGTATTCACCTGTTCCATTTGTTCCATCCCATTTAGTTAGGAATAGGGTACAGATGTAGGTGGGATGCAGAATCTAGCCAGCACAAAGTTGGATTCCATGTTGGAGTACTTTACCTAAATGAAATGGTCATTATACAGTACTGTATTAGTTATTGGAAGGTTAACCAGTGTAGTGCCTCAATTTGTATAGCACTTTAGCATTGAGGATAAGGATCATTATTGTATGTGTAAGTGTAGGATATAGAGTATAGGTCAAGTATTGAAATGGTTGTTTATTGTCTTAGTCCCATGTAGTTACTTTCCACAGTATTTGTGCTTGTTTCCCTACTGTTCCCTACTGAGTAATCGGAGGAGGGAAGATTGGTAATAGATAGATGGAATCTTTGAGTAGGTTAGTTGTCAGTGATGAACCCCAAATGAGTTACAATAGAAATAAAGCTGTAGTATTATGGAATTTCAGTTAGTTCTTTACTTTAAATCTACTTTTTGTTTCAGGTCCTCACAGCAGGAGGGTCATCAGTGGATGCAGCAGAAGCCAGTGTAGTGTGTCTGGAAGACAATCCTGTGTTTGATGCTGGTAAGATGTGTGCAGGTTTTCCTCAGCTTACTGAAGGGTTTCATTCCATAGAAATTTTCCAAAAATAAAAAAAACAGTGTACGTATTCATGTCCTATTTTCCTGTAGACTTCCATTATATAATTGGAAATATGTTACTGTGGAAAATTTTTGCCCAAGATTTAGTACAGTTTACAGTAATTACACTTAAGACGTTTATTAAACATAAATGAATGGAAAAATACCATGATAATATACAGGGTTTTGATGATATTTTTTGATCTAAACAGTTTGTGGTAAAGAAATACTATAAATAAAAGAAACCGTGGTGATCAGTACATACGGTGATGCAGATGGTATTGGGGATTACTGTACTGGGAGGGGTTGCATGAATTTCTGCCAACCTCGGTGAATCATGTTCTTGTTTTTCTTTTACTGTATTCATAGGACCTGAAAGTTTCATAAAGATGTTCAATTACGGTGAAAAGTCGTGTTCCTTAAACTGAAATTTGGTCTCTGGTTTGTAAATTCCATTAATATGAACTTTCTAAATTGGATGTCTGTGAATTGAGTGATACAGTCAAAGAAAAAAGTTGCATTACACTTACGATGCTTTATGTTCTGAAACTGAATATAAAGAATTTGGGTAAAGTTTCCCTTTTCAGACTTGAACCTCGAAGCCTCGCTGTCATTTTATCCAAATTCTTTGTAAGGGGTTTCGAAACATAACTCTAGGGAGGTGTAACACAACTTTTTAAATTTTATTGTACCTGTACGGTACTTGAGTCAATAATTCATCATGATTTGATATAATTTTTTGTGAGGATCAGTGGGCTTGTTCAACCTGGTTAGTTGGAAACAATGATCACCAGCACTAATTTCCATCAACACTGGATCTATTGACATATTTTTTCTTGCAGGAACTGGATCAGTTCTTACCTTTGATGAACAAGTTGAAATGGATGCAATAATAATTGATGGAACAACGATGGAGGCTGGAGCAGTTGGTGCTATTCGTAATGTGCTGAACCCGGTCAAAGTTGCTCGTTTGGTCATGGAAAAGACTGATCATATTATGCTTGTTGGTAAGGCTGTGTGAGAACTAAACTGTTTATACTGTCATATCAAATTAATCTTACTGATTTTATTACTACATGTATTTTTTACTTTTTTATGTCTTAAGAATGCCTGAGTTCTGTTGGATATTTAAAAAAGTATATACTGTGTGTCTCACTCTTGATGACTTGTGAAATGGGTCCCAATTTTAACAAGTCCCAAATTCAGTATCATTAATTTAAAGCCTTATTTCCACAAATGCATGGTGTGTCCATTTCGATTGGGGCCCAACACAAATAAACCCCTATTTCTAATGGTTAGGCACTCATCTGACCCAGGGAGATTTCTTATAGAATATTTTCAAAATATTCACATTCATGTTTTAGAGACCCTTGCAGGAAAACTAGAAATGCTCACTTAAAACCCCAAATTTTACATAATGATTTTGTTGTCTGAAAAACAAGAATGTGTGGGAGTGATAGTGGTTGCCTTAATATGTGTATGGAAAGTAGAATGGAAAAAGACAACAAATACAGTGGTAATGAAAATAAGAAATATATATAAAGGAAATATAGTTCTACAGTTCACAGTAATGTCAAGATGATGATGATGTTGTGGTGGCAGTGCAGTTTGAGGAACAAAAGAAACATCTTTGAGAAAAAGGTGACCCGTTTTTTCTTCCATGGTAATGCTTACTTGAGAATCTGAGCCCAATTGGTTTGATGAGGATACAGTAATGCAACTGGGGTTTAGAAATGTTGAATACTGTATGTATTTCCATTTAGTGGTACTATACTAGAAATATTTCACTAAAATCCACCAGCCAGCTAATGTTCCCAGATTGATTTAGTTGATAACCTTTACACAACGTACCCACCACCCAGTATACAAATATTGTGCATCCATGTTTATTCTACCTCTCCTATAGCCAGTCATTCAACATAGACAACAAATGTGTACAGGTACTTTGATTTCAGTTTCAAGCATTTTGTATTTGTCACCTGTTCAGTAATTAGTTTTGATAATAGCAATGTTTGTTTCATCAACTTCCAGGAGATGGAGCCAACAAGTTTGCTGCAGCTCATGGTGTTCAAGAAGTAGACCCAGAGGTGCTCATTACCTCTCTGGCAAGACAGACGTTGGCCAAGTACAAGAAGTACACCAGCACTGTGTATCATCTCTTCAACAAAACAGAGTAAGATATCATTAGTATAAAATAGTTTTGATTTAGACTGTGCTTGATAAAATTTACAGTTGTGTTTCTTTTACATTCATAAATAAAGTGGATTGTATATCAGTGCAGGTTGGAAATGTAATAGAAAATTTATTTACCCAACTGAAGACGGGTGACTTTGGTATTAACGTATATGTTTTCACGCAGAAAACCTGAAACAAGTGGACATGAGACTGTGGGTTGTGTTGTAGTGGACAGGGAGGGCCACACATCCTGTGCCACATCAACAGGAGGGATCACTGCCAAAATGCCTGGACGAGTTGGTGACACACCGATAGTGGGCGCAGGTGGCTTCGCTGATGACCAAGTATGACCCAATATGTACTGATAACTATAAGGTCCATTTTTGATTAGTTTTAATTGACTAATTTTGTAATGATTATAACCTTTAATAAAACTTTTGAAGGAAATATGTTATTGTGTGAGTTATTAGACAGCTGTATGTAAGCTCATGTGTTAACCTTCAGGGAAATGTTTTATTGTTTATTTTATACACATAATTTATAACACCGAAAATTCCAAGTGGATTAATTTTTAGATTATTGTACATCTATTCAATATTACCTTAGGGTGCTTAACAGTATATTACTGTATATAATTTCATAACTTTGAATATGATTTCTATAGCACGAGCTCTTGCTGGTGTTGTAGGACTAGACAGGCATGTAAAAAACATTCATCTCAAACCCATCTAAGTAATATAATTGTTGTTGTTTCCACAACTGTTAAACCTGTAAATTTATCCCTTTATCAGGTTGGTGCTGTCTCTACTACTGGGCATGGTGAAGCTATCATGAAAGCTTGCCTGGCCCGCCACATTACATCTGTCATGGGCACAGGTTAGTCCAGGTTACACAATACTTTCACGATACATAAATTTCAGTATGATATCACCTGCAAATACCAGTAATGTACTTCTGTACAAGAAACTTAGTTCCATTCTGCAGGAATTTTTCATGCTAGTGTATCATGGTATCAGTGACTCACTGTAGGGTGCTTGAAAATAACAAACTTCCAATCAATCTCAGGATTTTTAGTAGGAAATCCAAAGAAGATTAAGAGGCTGGGGATCAAGGGGTCAGACTAAAGCAACTCTGAATGGTGAAATAAATACGGAAGAGTTTAAAGAGCAATTAAGGTCAGACTAATAGTATTTCTCATCACATGAATCAGAATTTTGTTACAGTTGACTTTGCCAGTATAACTGACTGCTGTTGTATAATCCACTATACATTACAGTAATTTAGGTGTCATATCAGGGGTTTAAATATTGCACAGTACACATACTGTACTGTGATGTCTTTAGAAACTGTATGGGATTTGTAAAAGACTTGTAGTGTATCGGTATAGAAAAAATATGGTGCTTTGGGAAGATATATTTTAAACAACACTTGAATTTTTGTGCATTAAAATCTAGGTGTTTAAAATTGGCATGGCTGATTTTTAGCTCATATCTGTACTATATGAGTACTGCCCTCCCTCCCTTCCCTTATTGGAATATGCTAGGGAGGGTGGGAAATAGGTAGAGGAAGGAAGGAAGGTGAAGGCAGGAGGAAAAGAACAGGAGGGGTAGCTGTTTCATTGTATGTTTGGATGTTCATTTACAATGTTACCAGACCAGTTATGGACCTTATAGCTACAATGTATACAGTAATACCCCGATTTACGCGGTTCCCGTTTACGCGTTTCCACATTTACGCTGTTCCCCGCCAGAACCGGAATTCCCACTTTACGCGGTGCATCTACTCATATACGCGGGAAGCGGCGCGGGCAGGGTGCGCACAAGGTCGCCCAGTCATCAAAACATTACCGAGTTCTTCACCCACCACCCACCACAGCCAGCCCAAGTCAGTGATAGTGAGGATATGGACTTATATGGACTTTGAGAGGTTTGACAAAGAGGCCCTGCAAGCCTCTGTGGTGGATAGTGATACAATTGATACAAGTGATACAGGTGAGGGCCAATAATCTGCCCTCTGCCTCGGAACCAACCCCCATCCCCGTGTGCCCAGCCATCTTTTCTACTAATGTAAGTGTTAAAAAACCTAATATTATTGATATTTCTCTTAATTATTAATTGTGTGTGCATACCATCATAAAATTAAGATGTTATTTTTACTACAACGTACGTATTGTGCCGGGAAAAAGTGGAGTTTGGGGTCGACCCAGTCTCTATTTCAATTAATCCCATATGTTCTGTTGTTCCATTTACGCGTTTCCCGTTTTACGCAGGCCTCTGCGGGTTTAATTGACCGCGTAAATCGGGGTATTACTGTATTGTACTTATTCCTGAGGCCGACTGTACATGATTACTAGTAGAATTTCTTTCAAATTTGCTTACACGAAGCACTGAAGTGTGTGTGGCATGTCCCCATTGTCATCATCCCTAAAAATATCAAATCTTATGTATGCACTGCATTAAGCAATATTTTTGTCTTCTGACAGTTCATCGTATGAATGGCTTGCAAAACTATTCATTTTCATATACCCTGTAATTCTTTTGTATATAGTACAGTACAGTATATATATTGAAATCTTTCACTTGTTTAAGGGAACTTTAATATATTTTTCCTTCTTTCTCATTCAGGTGAGAGTGTCAAATCCTCTATCCAAAATGGCTTGGCCCATATGGAGTCACGCATAAAAGGTTTTGGAGGAGCCATAGCAGTGTCGTGTAAAGGAGAAGTTGGTACACACTTCTCAACTCCACGTATGACTTGGGCGTATATTCAGGCAGGCAAGCTTCACTATGGCATCCATCCCAATCAGCATGTTACAGAAGACCTGTAGCTTTCCCAGCAAACTCAAGAATTTATGAGGAACAGCTTATGATTTAGTACTATTAGCAGATGTAGTTTGTATTTCAACCGTAGCATCTTTTTTTCATTTCATCACATTACACCACCATGCCAGAAAAGCTTTGGACAAATCAGTTCCATCTTTTTCTTCTAGTTGAATATCTTAATATTCTTTTACATATATTTTTGTAAAGTTTCTTGTTTTATGTAAAGGTAGTGTGGTATGAAAATAAGGTAGCTTTAAGTCTAGGAGAAAGTGGATCACATTTACCACAAAATGCCCTCAAACATCATCTGCTTGTATATTAACACTTCCAGTACAGTACTAATTAGCATTACCAGTTGTTCTGTAGCTTCACCCAAATATCCTTTTCCCCATTTCACTTAATCTCTAATCTCATATACATAACTTGGGACCATCCTTCTCACACCATAGGTTGAAATGTAAATTCTGTCTTGAGTGGCTGGTAAGGCTTTAGGGCAAGGAAAGGTAACATGACAGGAAAATGGCAAAAGAGTTATTGTAGTATCCGCAGTTTCACAAGCAGGAAAAGTTAAGAATTGGAGACAATGGCTTTAAAATTTCGGAGGGAAAGGCTTCATGTGTTCCAAAATAAGATGGGGTAACTAAATAACAAATGTAGAGCTTATAATTAATCTTGATTCTTGATCACAGAATCGACCTCTTTTTGTGCCTCAGACCTATAATAGGACTTGATTTATACAACCTTCTTCCAGCCATGTATTTTATGAACTCAGAAATGAGCAAACTTTTGTAATGTTGGTACAGTATTTTACTCTGCACTAATCATCTATTAATGATTGTAGTACATTTTTAATTATATGAATAAAGTGGTACTTGAGTGTGACTGGTAACCTTGGGAGGAAAAAAGGAATATTGATTTTGTAGTGTACTGAACTAACATACAAAATGCCTTAATAGGAAAACCATTATAAAACACTGAGAGGTACTGTAGTGTGTAAAATATTTGCTTAATACTGTACTGTAGTGGGAACTAATTCTGGAATACAATATTTGTACAGCACAAAATAAAATTTCAAAACAATGTCAACTTCATTTCATTTTTGTTACAGAAGTTGGTTTATAACATTATTGACATGAAAATGTATAGTATAACATCAGATCAAGATAATGAAACTTCTCTTTCAGTAGAAAAAATAAAATAAATAGTGGGGAAGAACTATATAATGGGTTACTGTAGTAAAACCTGTTGTATCATTTAGAGAAGAACTAAGTAATGAATGATTCCGGGAAGATCTAAGTAATGGAAAGAACCGCAAGTACTGTAGTGGATACATCAGGGAAATAATTGTAGTTGTGGATGATTTAGGGGAAAAAACAAAGTAATGGATAATTGAGGTAAGTTTGGCCTAGGTAACTCCTGAAGATATACCTATGGGATTCCCCTCCTCAGATTAGGTACAGTATCATTTTTGGGGTTGATCTATGGGGTGACTTGCTCTGCTGAGTAGATTTATCTGATAATCATTGACCAAAACTTGGAAGGCCACAGGATTCAACATAAACAATTAGATTCAAAATGTCCCATACTGGTATCCCAATGAGCTGTCCCAGTGAGATGTACTGTACCAAGCTGTCCCAGTGAGGTGTACTGTACTGTACCTAGGAGCTGTCCCAATGAGTAGGTGTACCAAGGAGTTGTACCAGCGAGGTGTACTGTACCAAGGAGCTGTCCCAGTGAGATGTACTGTACCAAGCTGTCCCAGTGAGGTGTACTGTACTGTACCTAGGAGCTGTCCCAATGAGTAGGTGTACCAAGGAGTTGTACCAGCGAGGTGTACTGTACCAAGGAGCTGTCCCAGTGAGATGTACTGTACCAAGGAGCTGTCCCAGTGAGGTGTACTGTACTGTACCAAGGAGCTGTCCCAGTGAGGTGTACTGTACTGTACCAAGGAGCTGTCCCAGTGAGGGTGTACTGTACCAGGAAGCTGTCCCAGTGTGGTGATGTATAAGGAGCTGTCCCAGTGAGGTGTACTGAGGAGCTGTCCCAGTGAGTGTACTGTACCAGGAGCTGTCCCAGTGGTGATGTATAAGGAGCTGTCCCAGTGAGGTGTACTGTACCAGGAGCTGTCACAGTGAGGTGTACTGTACCAGGAAGCTGTCCCAGTGTGGTGATGTATAAGGAGCTGTCCCAGTGAGGTACTGTACCAGGAGCTGTCCCAGTGAGGTGTACTGTACCAGGAGCTGTCCCAGTGTGTGTGATGTATAAGGGAGCTGTCCCAGTGAGGTGTACTGTATCAAGGAGCTGTCCCAGTGAGGTGTACTGTACCAGGGAGCTGTCTCAGTGAGGTGTACTGTACCAGGAAGCTGTACCAGTGTGGTGATGTATAGGAGCTGTCCCAGTGAGGGTACTGTAGGAGCTGTCCAGTGAGGTGTACTGCACCAGGAGCTGTCCCAGTGAGGTGTACTGTACCAGGAACTGTCCCAGTGAGGTGTACTGCACCAGGAGCTGTCCCAGTGAGGTGCACTGTACCAGGAAGCTGTCCCAGTGTGGTGATGTATAGGAGTTTCCAGTGAGGTACTGTACCAGGGAGCTGTCCCAGTGAGGTGTACTGTACCAGAAGCTGTCCCAGTGTGGTGATGTATGAGCTGTCCTAGTGAGGTGTACTGTACCAGGAGCTGTCCCAGTGAGGTGTACTGTACCAGGAGCTGTCCCAGTGAGGTGTACTGTACCAGGGAGCTGTCCCAGTGAGGTGTACTGTACCAGGAGCTGTCCCAGTGAGGTGTACTGTACCAGGAGCTGTCCCAGTGAGGTGTACTGTGTGTACCAGGAGCTGTCCCAGTGAGGTGTACTGTACCAGGAGCTGTCCCAGTGAGGTGTACACCAGGAGCTGTCCTAGTGAGGTGTACTGTACCAGGAGCTGTACCAAGGAGCTGTCTCAGTGAGGTGTACTGTACCAGGAGCTGTACCAAGGAGGCTGTCTCAGTGAGGTGTACTGTACCAGGAGCTGTCCCAGTGAGGTGTACTGTACCAGGGAGCTGTCCTAGTGAGGTGTACTGTACCAAGGAGCTGTCCCAGTGAGGTGCACTGTACCAGGGAGCTGTCCCAGTGAGGTGTACTGTACCAGGGAGCTGTCCTAGTGAGGTGTACTGTACCAAGGAGCTGTCCCAGTGAGGTGTACTGTACCAGGGAGCTGTCCCAGTGAGGTGTACTGTACCAGGGAGCTGTACCAAGGAGCTGTCTCAGTGAGGTGTACCTCAGGTTACGTGTAACTGGGCAGGTAACCCAAACACCTTAATCTCCATTTTACCATTGTAACCTCCTCGTTGGTCAGTAATGTGGATACTTCCAAGTTAGTAAAACTATCAGTTGGCATCTTGGGCGGGTCTACAACACCAAAATTCAACAGATTCCAGTGGGTTGTTTCATCTTATCACACTTTATTTACGTTGTTCATCAGAAATGGGTCCTTGTGGTCAGCACAACTTATATAGAAGTTAAATGTTTACCTGAATAGTTTATTCATCATAAAATTGCACATGGAGTTGTTTGGTTGTATCAGTAACTATAAAATTAACGTTGTTGATATAGGTACAGCAGCTGTATTGACGGACTGTGTTGCTAATAGTTAGGTTAAGTTAGGGTAGGTTAATTAGAAAGAAGGCAATCTTAGTAACTATCATTGTATAGTTTGCCTGCCACGCATGGTATTAAGCTACCGTACCAATAGACATGACCTTTCGCACGCGGCTGCCGTACCTATATCCTGCGCCTAAAATTAAACTTCTTAGTTTCAAAAGCTAACACTTCATTCCTCTTATGATTTCCCTGTTGATAATGACAGCATAGTTCTTCCATTGGATCATCTACTTTATAATTCATTTAGCTGCCGCTTTGTGTGGGTGACTCATCTTGCTGCCATACTTTGAAGTCTGTAGATATAGTTTTCTGTCAAACTTCACCTATACACTGAACACATTTCCGATAAATTTATTTTTCTTTAATTTCAATAGCCTCTGGACTGAATCACAAGAAGACCTGGTTACAACACTATATACGATGGTGCACGTCTCTTCAGTTTCACATATTTTGATACCCTTCAGCATGCATAGATAGCCTAGGTAACATCAACTAAGTCCTTATGTTTGAAAAAAAAAAGTCTTGGTGCAATAAACATTTCAACTGTAGTTTCAGTCATGCCTCTAATTGTCTTCAAAATAACTACATCATCATTTAATTATAACCCAGTAACATGCTGATATACTCCGCAGTTACCACCTTCTACCGTCTAACCCAAACCATACAAGTGTTGTAAAAGACAAATTTCCCTCAGCCAGTGATAACTGGAAAGCTTGGTATGTTAGTCACAACACTTGCCTGCATTTTAAGTAAATAACAACCAACTAAAAGCCTCATTAATATGATCCTTGTTCAGTTGCAGAACACCTTAGATTATATTCAAGGATTCGGTTATATGTTGAACTTTTATGTGTTGAATTAATAACAAAGAAATACTTAAAATACACGTTGAGTAAATATAACACAGGCCGTAAGTGCCCCCACCCTTCTTCAATACCCGAGTCCGAAGTCTCAAACATTCGTTCGTTTTATTTGTTTTCTTTCTTCTCGTAAGTGTGGAACATACTTACGGTATTGCCTCTGTTTAATTTCGATGCCACTGTGATAGTCATCCTTGTTGACGTAGTTTATAGTGAGTCAAGGTGTGTTCCCAGGTAAGGTGGGAAACAAATTGACGTACGAGCCTCTGAGAATCCCAGCCCTGGCACATTGCCCACTCCAGGATGGTCCTGGAGATAGCGGAGACAGTGGTGGGTGGAGACCTGAAGCTGTCTTTCAAGTGGCTATAACATTCCCTCACCTGACGAGACTAACTCACAGCCAGTTACACCTTGCCGGTCTTAGCTAGCTCTTGGTATCCGACTAGATTTAAATAAACCTGACAGATTTCAACAAAACTCGTGTAAATACGGGTGGTGTGCACTTTACAATTGTGAGGTGATTGTATTGATGACTATTATATATATCAAACAATTTGTGTTAGTGCATATTTGATGTATAACAGTGTATTTATATTCCGTGAAAAGGGTTTATAAACACGAAAGACCGAAATTTATACAGGAAAGCGAATAATATTTTTGTATAAGGATATGAGGGAGACACGATCTTTGTTTCGTTAAACAGAGGAACTGAAGATAGTGTTGGCGATAGTGGTGATAAGTAAGGGGGAAGTGGAGACACTGGTGGAAAGTGTAGTGGGTGAGATAGAAGTAGTGGTGGAGGCGAATACATCAGGGGTAAGTGTAGCGGTGGAGATAGTGGTAATGGTGGTGAAATGTTTGAAAGCGTCATCTCCCCCTCCCCCACCGAAAACCAGGGAAAAGCCGCTGTTGCCCGGGGTGCACCTACGGGGGCTGAGCGTCACAATAACTCACACCCACCGCCACCCAGCTGCAGGTTTACCTCACCCAGAGAGGGAGACAGGCTTCCCCAGGACGCCTCCTGCCTGCCACAAGAGCCCCACCGACCTGGCCAAGGCTTCCCCCACGCAAAGTTTTCGTGGACGAGGGGAGTTTGACATCCCTAGACAGGAGGAACGACCTCAAAGGGAGGCTGAAGGGGCCAGAGATGACGCCGAAGCCCAAACGTTTCACCAGCCACCCCAAGGGAACGTAGAGAAGCCTTTATGGTACCTAACTACCACCACCGCCGCCATTTTGCTGATACAAGGACTCTTCATCATCCTCTTCACTGCCTTCGTGAGGTAACCGACAGTACTTGTTTACATTAACTTTACTGTGATTTGTTTACTCTTAAACGATATTTATACAGTTTGTTTCTTTGATTTTCGTTACCCATACACGCAACTACAACAAGAAATCAAGAACAATATTTAACTAACCAGAGGGTCTATGTCGAGGCAGCTGATAAAGTCAGTCAACAATGGGACACACAGGACCCCAATAGCGCTATTTAAAGACTGGGAGCATCAGTAAGGTGGCCCATCCCATGATAATATCAGTGTCGCGGTCCTTATCCATCTTGGCAGTTGCACTTCTTGTAAAAGAGACGAAATAAACCAGTCAGAATTAACCTAACGCTAAGTAATTAATCGAGATAGATTTTAATTCTTTAGGAGGCAGGAGTTTCTCTCGGTTGAATAAAATTGTCTGGTGTTAGCTACACTGCCATCTAAAGGGTTAACTAGTATCCAAAGTACTTCAAACTAGCTAGATTATTTCGGTAGGTTAGATTAGGTTAGGTAGGCCAGGTTAGGTTGGGTAGGCCAGGTTAGGTAGGCTAGGCTAGGTTAGGTTAGGTTAGGTTAGATTGGTCAGTTTACGTTAGGTAGATCAGGTTAGGTTCAGTAGGTTAGAATAGATTTTATTAGGTACGTTAGGCAAGCCAGGTAGGTTAAGTTATGTTAAATTGGTCAGGTCAGTAAGTTAGATTACGTTAGGTTTGGTTCTTCGTTGTGCATGTTTTAAAAGACGGTTTCTATGACTCCAAAACAACAATATTTTGACAAACCCGAAGTTAAGAGACCATCGTATGTGAGAACCCAATGAATAAAACGTTTCTTTTTGACGTTTGTAGATAAACACATCATCCTACTGATTCTTTGAATTAATTGTCTTGCGTTTATAATTATAACACTGTTACCCTGTGTTCAGCTTCTCAAAAATTCAGTAGCTATTAAGCTCTACATGAATACGATTTGGCAACGACCATTATTATTATTAGGGTGGTTGGTTAATCTTTAGGTGACAAGCTGGGGTGTAGATTCTTCATGTGATCCATTATTATTATTATTATTATTATTATTATTATTATTATTATTATTATTATTATTATTATTATTATTATTATTATTATTATTATTATTATCATCGTCAGGTATGATGAACTGGCGGACGCGTCACACCCCGGAAACAACCATCACTATATCTTGGGAGGAAATTTATCTAAACACAACCCGGGAGGTCTCCTACACCACCGTCAGTATATTTCTGTTCATCTTTTCTGCTGTAGGTACCTGTTGGACTGTATATATATATATATATATATATATATATATATATATATATATATATATATATATATATATATATATATATTTCATTAGCCCAATAAAGCATGCGGACTTCTACATACAATCAACACCTCAACCCGCCAGGATTCGAACCCACGGCCCACGTGCTTTGTTGGGCTAATGAAATATATATGGATCCTCGTGTTTCGAAGCCGGATTTGGTAAAACGTTACTCTGACCACCTACGTGATACGGGTAGTCCTCATTAGAGGTTCACGGCGCCATAAGCTCGTTGAACAGGCTTTGTGTGAAATATCACAGAGTCTAGTATTGCTTTTAGTATCCTGGTGGTCCAGAGGTAGCGTTCCCCGGTCACAGTCATGGGCTCGTGGGCCGTGGGTTCGAATCCTGTCTATCTATACAGTACATGACTTATCAAGAAGGCGTGTATAAAACGAGCTACTTCATAGGTCTCGCCCCTCGTCATTGATAGTATAGTCTCGTTAATTGTTAAGCCTCCCAGCTCTATTGTGAACTTGTCTGTTTACCTCCAACCAGTTTGGTGTACAGTATATTTATCTACGAACCTTTATGAATCAGACTCCAGAACTACTGTATAAAGGAATGACACATGGGTGATTTATATTAGTGTCATAAAGAAAATATTAGCATAAACATATTTTTTCAGAACTACTAAACATGGAAATAGTGGTGCTGGCGGGCGTAGGACTGCGGATGGCGTTTCTGCGAGAGTATTCCTACAGCAGTGTGGGCGTGTCCCTCCTGCTGACAGCCATGACCTTGCAGTGGGCGATACTATGTCGATGGTTTATTACCGATAAAGAATTTATGTACATTAGCATTTACAGGTTCGTATATTTTCCCAAATTTATAATTTTAATGACAAAATTTAATTTGTAACTAAAGATGTAAAAATGCACATGTCTGTTGATTTAATGTAAAGCATAAAATACATCATAATTACATTGAAAGTATATCATAACTGAATACGTTAATCTAACGCCAGTCAAAAGAAAGGTACATTTCCTTATGAAAAATTGTCTTATAACCAAGTAAATGCATCGAATAATTCTAACCATATTTTTGTGTTTTAGTGCATTCTTATACCTTCACTTATGAAATACTGTATCATCGCAACAGCTTGTGTGTATCTAGACCCACTCTGGCTAAAGCAGTGTATTTATAGCATCCATTGAATTGACAGCTTGCTGGAAGGGTGTGTGGTGAGTGTAAGCGTGGGGGTGACTCACGGGGCTCTGTTGGGGGTGGCCTCGCCCCTCCAGCTAGTCCTCCTGACCCTCCTCCAGGTGCCCGTCCACACCGCTACCCACCACCTCGTCAACAACATCATTCAGGTCAGAACCGGGGCCACCACCAGACAGTAAACAATGATAGAGAAAATACTGTGCTGGTTATCATCTAAGTACATTAAAAAGATCATCTAAAGATTAAGCCTCATCTTATTTCACTATAAGACTAACAGTTCTAACGTTAATCTTACTTAACCTAAGCTTACCTAACCTAACTTAACCTAACCCCTCCAGGTAGCCTTACGGTATGTATGTGTTTGTTTGTGTTTTTGTTTGCTCTTTTTGTTTTTTTTGCTTGTGTGTGTGTGTGTGTGTGTGTGTGTGTGTGTGTGTGTGTGGAAGACAATTATAGGCTTTCAATAAGTCTAATAAAACTCATTGTCATGCAGCCTTCAGACCCTGGAACTTCAACATGTAGTACAAAAATTCAGGCGTGTTAGGTTAAGTTAGATTAGGTTAGGTTAGGGAGATATGTATGTATTTTCCTAATACACTCATAACTTGTTTAAGGATCAGCTCAGAAGGTCACTGTTGGCATCGTACTAGTTAATTTTTCTCAGAGTTCTCCGCACCCCATATATCCTCCCATTTTCCACAGGGAAGACTGAGAACAAAGGGAATATTTCTGTTATTTGTTATATCTCGTCAGAAGCTAATCGTTTATATTGCCGAAGGGAAATATAAACCCCCTAAACTAGATACAAGGAACCTGTCGTAACACATTAATAGTAGAGTTATAGCACCATATATGAGGGGTAGCTTCTTAAAGTCTTAAAAAATTAGTAATTGTGTTTTTTTACTTCTCTCCAAATCTTCAGCTTTTCTGTATGAGCCATTTTTGTAGTCAATGTTGCTTTGTACGTCTCACTTATTGATTTTGTCTGATAATAATACACACCTGCCTGTAACACTGTATATGCTGGGGGCTCCACAGATGTAATTTTCTACTCCCTTGTTCTTCTTAACTGTGGAATCTCACTATACAGTACTGTATTTGTCACCACAACTGATATATAACTGGTAGGATGAAAGTGAATGTTTATCACTGTAACTGCATCACTATAGCTATCACTGTAAGAGTAAGATATCTCATTGTATATTAAATATCATTGTAACTGTATCACTCAAAACTGTGCAACTATCAAACAGGCTGTGGACCGCGGGGGCAGCTTGTCGGTCCACATGTTTGGTGCCGTATTCGGGGTGTCGGCCTGTCGGGCCCTAGGAGGCCGGAGGTCGGCCACCACCACCCGACTCTCCGCATCCAAGACCTCCCAAGTGGCGGCCTTCATAGGTAAGAAACCGAGGTTCCAATAGTTACACTAAATTAATTGTACCCTTCACGTGAATTAATGTTGGTTAGATTAGGCAATGAATCAAGCAGGCTAACTCATCTATCCTGTATTAAATACTATTTGACGACCAAATTATGCTGCATACATTGGTAGATTAAGCAATATGTGACTATGAGTATATCAGAATTTATTGCTACAGTGAGGGGGCGGGTCACTTGGCAGGGACGATGGTGATGGTGGTGTACCTGCCGGAGGTGTGGTCATGGAGGAGCAGTGGAGACGACCAGCACCGCGCACAGATCAACACTCTTCTCGCTACCCTCGCCGCAGCCATCGTCGCCCTCCCAGCCTCATCCATAGCTCACACGCGCAGGAAGTTCTCGATGGTAAGATAAATTCACAAGCCCGCACCCCCTCCCTTCCGGACAGCTTTTTAAGCATTAATTGAAGATTATTTAAATTTCCTCTTCATCACACCACAGAAAATGTAGCTGAGAGAGATAGGACAGGGCCTATCTTTATCTGTACTTATATTTTGCTCCTAGACTAATGAGGTTTTCCACAATCGGTAAAGTAACTTGGGTTTTGTTTTGGAAAGATGCATTCCTAGGGGATTTTCATTATGATCTGTACATACGTTCTCCTGCCACTTCATGGACGACATGAGTACGACTATATCCACAAGATGAAATGTAAATTAAGATTACTGTATATAAACGATGTGTATAATTATTATTAATTATTCCAAGCGACTGTAAAATTGAGGCACTTACGGCTAAACTACCAAGAGAGGTCACTTGTAGATTAATTTATAATTTCGCCAAGTAAAACCGTTCGGGCAGTTGGTGTGTTTTGTTAATCTGTTAAAACTCTTGTTGTCCAATGTTAGTACAGGAAGGACACTTATGATGTTTGGTCGGTCACGTCTGTACCCGGGCTCAGGTCACAGTAGCTAATCTAACCCCCCATTTAACGTTAGGGTGTTTAAATTGTAAGGTAACATAAGATCCAAGATTTTATTTATTACTTTCCAATTCTGCTCTTACAGTAAACGTTATAAAAAAAAAAAAATCTTAAGTAAAAAGAAATCCCCAGAGTTGCGCCAGTGCCATGGAAACAAAATAGAATCGCAATGGTTAACTCATTTCTTTTTAAACAAACAAACCTAACTAACCAAACCAAAAATAGCCTTGTTAATCTTACTAAATATTTTATTTATTTTAATATTTATCTATTCAAGGTAAGGTAAGATCAGGTTGGTTTTGGCTAGTTCGTGTTGTGTACCATCATAAATGTTTTAGTTTTAGTTTATCGCCGATTTTAAAATTTAGACTCCGGATGTGGCGGAATTAGAGGGTTATACTGTATATATATATATATATATATATATATATATATATATATATATATATATATATATATATATATATATATATATATATATATATATATATATATATATATATATATATATATATATATATATATATATATATTACAGAAATAAATCATTAAATGCGAATTTCTGTAGGACAAACATGCTTTAGTTATCCCAGGTGAAATGTAATTATAGAAAGTTTCAATTAAAAGGCGTACATCTCCTCAGAGTGACATACAGTGCGGTGTGATGGGCGGTAGCGTTGCAGTGGCGGCGGTGGCGGACATGATGCTTGAGGCCTACGGGGCGTTGTTGCTTGGCGCCATTACCAGCGCCATATGTGTCCTTACACGACGTCGTCTAGCGGTAAGTCTTGCCACTGTTGCTCATCTTTTCTATAGCTGCATGGTTTATTGTATAATCTTGCACCTGGTTCATACAGGTTAGGGATTTTGCGAATCATATCATCCAAGTTGTCTTATTTATATATTTTAGCATGCAAACCCTTTTTTCCAGCCTATGTTACAGACACGTTTGGGAGTAGCGGATACTGCAGGCGTGGGCGTATCTCATGGCCTGGCGGGTGCTATGGGTGGACTAGCTGGCGTGGTGATGGCCGCCTCCGCTAGTGATAAGGGTTCTTATGGAGTCAGGTGAATCACTATGTTAGTTACTTGGCATGATGTGTGCGTGTGTGTGTGTTATGTAAAACTTTAAATAGCTTGCATGTTCACAATTAAGGCCATCAGAGAAAAGTTAAATCTCCATCGACGGAACACCTGAAACTTGGGTCGGGTGTCCCTGGTTTAGGGCTCCGTCGATGCTTTGCCTGCCACCATGACATTAAGTTAGCCTCTGGTCACCCTTATTTTTTGGGGGGGGGTGTATACTTGAAGGCAAGGTACTATAAGATTCCGTGAAAGGAAATGGGATTGGGGATGGTGGTCAGGGTAATTTAAAAGAAGTATATAAGCGCTTCAGAGGACATTACTCTATCAAGTGTTCATAATTGGAACTAGTGGATGCCCGCCCCACTACAGTAGAGGTCACAGACTCAGGTTAAAGAAGCCACAACAAGGGTCGCCCTCTTTCATCAGAAAATTCTAATAATTTAAACGCGTATAATTTTTCTTTAATGCAGTAATGTACTTGGATATTTTTGTATCGTAAAAAGTAATTACTATTGATCTCAGAATATTTCCTATTATCAAGTGCACAAGTACAAGTTCGTGTCTGGTTCACACTCGTCATGTTTTGCATCAGTAATCGTGTTCCCATTGAAAATAAGTTTATACTGATTTTCTTGGGCTGTCTTTGGATGGATCGACGTACTGCTTGTTATTGTCTGTATGTCTGCACTGCCTATTCACTGTACACACTGAACCAATGTGAACTTGCATAACGATTTCACTGAATAACGATCTATCATCTCATTAGTTCGCAAAATACAGTATTCACCCTTAGCCCCGTGTTATATGCGAAGGCTATATGACAATCAAGGTTGACAACGGACCTGTAACACCATACCGTATTTTATAAGTTTCTAACACTTAAGCTGCGTTATATAATCCAAATTGTTCACTTAAATCCAACCTCTAATATGTGTTCTGTTGTTATATCCCGCATCGTGTATTACACAATTTTCAAGTAAATTTATTTTCACAGCGTGTACGAGATTTTTCCTCCTATGGCACCAAAGGAAAGCACCCCGGAATTAGCTGAAGTAGTGAGTTACTACGTCGTGCCGGCTGGTAAAGGGCGGTCAAGTGGGTCTCAGGCCGCTCACCAACTTGCTGCTATTCTTGCCGTTCTCGTCATCTCTGTAGTAAGCGGCGTCCTTGCAGGTTAGTGGCTGAACCCAAGATTGTGTTGCTTAATGACAGGTGTTATTGTTTTATGGTAGATATATGTTAGACAGCTTTCACACAGGGGTAAAATATACAACAAAACTGTTTAGGATAATAAGAGTAAAATTGTCATGAAAATACGAAAATCATTAAGTATTCGCGGTATAAAATATATTGATAAGGTCGCTAGAAAATTTGCATGAAGTTCATAATTTTTTTTTTACCAGAAAATACCAGGTAATAAAAGAAGTATGACCATGACACTTCAGCTACCTGCTTCGTCACAGATATTGGCTTTATGACATATGGCTCTTGGTATTTGATGTACTGTTCTAGTCGGAGGAGTAACTTAGTGAGGGGTCAGCCGAGTTTTGCAAGTATCCGCTCTGTTGATGAAGCCAACATTAACTTCGAAAAAATTTTACTGCTATATTCGTCATAGGTCAAACTTTTCACCATTCGTTTTCCTCAGATGATGCGAGAACTCATCTAGCTGAGGTGTATTATCAACAAAATAGTTTTAGAAATTGTAGTGAAACTTCTGCAACAAGATGGGTTTTCTCTTCCCAAGTTCAGGGGGAAATAATTGTCTAAAACTGAGCTTTCCTTCCTGTTCGCCACTTGTTGGGTTGCTTACCGAAAACAAACTATAAATATTTAAATTTGTTGCACCCCAATTCTGGGAATTCAAACCTTGACCTAATCTAACTAGCTGGTTAGTTAAGTTGAATTTAAACAATATACAGTACAGGTACATAAGTTGGGGAGGATAAGATTTACAGATAAGTTAGAAAAGTGATACTAGTTTATAAGTTCAAGTTAGGTTGGTGAATCATGGTAATGTAAATATAGTGAAGCTTGTATATTAAAAGTGGTTCCGTCTAAGTTAAATTAGGTTCTAAAGCCAAGATAATTTAAATGGATTAACTTATGTTGTTAAGTTCGATTAGGTCTCTGTACTGACGTCTGTGATTCGCTAGGTTTGTTGCTGAGGCTGCCACTGCTTGAGAACTTGACCCAAGATGACCTGTACAGCGACCACCGCTTTTGGCAGATCCCCGCCCGCCAATCATCACCCTGCCGCGCCCACACCCAAGTCGGCCCTCACACCCACTCCCACCCGCACGACCCCGCCCACGCCACCACGCACCATAAACACCAGCAAATCCAGTCTCTTGCACACAATAACAATACTGGCCCTTGACTTCCTCACCAGAATGTGAGACTTCATTCACCACAACTACCAACCTTTGACTTCCTTCACAACTACCAACCTTTGACTTCCTTCACCACAACTACCAGCCTTTGACTTCCTTCACCACAACTACCAGCCTTTGACTTCCTCCTCACAAGTTCATCGGCCCTCAGATGGTAATATGACTGTCTTCTTGCATTCAGTACATAGATAACCCGATACCATGTTGGTCATATTTTCACAATTATTATTTTTTTAGTTCAGGGAAAGTTTAAAAACGCTCCATAGATAAACGCACATCTTACGGCAACAGTTGATCTACACGAGAAGGATCTGGTAAACTCTGCAGGTCAGGGTACACGATAGATAGCGACTACAAATTACATGTCTAGTATTTGTTTATTTTCGTAATATTTAAACGAGGTTGTCTATATTTACAGTGAATCTTCTTTTTTCCATATACAATATTTATCAACCGCTTTTGATAAAACTTGAAATGTATTTTTATTGTAATTTTTAGAGGACCTTTATGTTGTGAGGCCCTAAGCTGCAGCCTGGTTAGCTTGAGTAGAAGTCCGGCACTGTCTCACCATAAAAGGCATTATAGTATTGGCTGATGTGGTGTCACGTGAGATTCTGAACAACCAATCAACTACGAATTGTAACGGTTGCTATGGAGACCAAAACTAGATGGAACTTAGGGTGATGGAACAATAAAGTTGATTTTAAGGCATCAGAAAATATTTAGGTTTGAGGTGTTTAGTGTAGTTATCGTTTTATTTTGATTACAGTGAGCTTATAATTTAGTAGTATCCCAGGAGTAGTAAAATAATGTAGCTTTGTTAGAATATTTTATAGTTTTACTCTAATTTTTTTAAAGATGATTCACTTTCATATGAGTGTCATGCATATGTAAAGGGTATTTCAGGAGTTGATACTGTTTCTGGAACATGTGCGTAAATGATATAAGATAGCGTCATACCAACTTTGAACCAATCACTGAAAATTTTTGCCCCCCAAAATCTAAAATGCTGTAGATATATGATTCAGCCCAATACACCTTTATAACTAGGCATGTTTAAGGATCTCTTCTGTATTCAGAGTTACCATGATACTGATATTGGTAGACCTTCAAACACTCTTAGACATACGTTTACACAGACACACACATGCTTCAAGAACATTATTACGCTACCTTTGAATCCCTGGGGGTAAAGCTCGTAAATAAATACCTGTACATGTATGTTTGTGAGGTAGAATGTGTATGTCGTTCTCATTAATCAGATATTTTTATTTAGAAATATATAGTGTGTTAGTAAAGATGTAGGTATATACAGAACATACATAATACTATTCATTAGGTGACAGGTCTGAGTTAGTGCCTTCAGGTAGTTGAGAATAGAAGTCTTAACTCAGAAGCTCATTAACCTAATCATTTAATCCCCTAGTATTGTATATAATTAGGCTGCTGTATAATCATTCCATACATAAAGTATATATGTAGACAAAGTACCCAGGACTCTTAGTAATGTTGACCATCTACTGTATACTTGAGTTATTTAGTTAAGGGGAGATTGGTATGTAGAAATCTATTTACATAGTTTTTCCTTTGTAGTGTTATTTTGATGTGATCTATAAATAAAAGCAACACTCACCATATAATATAAAGCAGTGTTACATACACCTCTCTCACATGGACCACAGGTAGATGCCAGAAATTGCTAATGTATCTACTTATTTTTGATTGAACTAATATCGTCAATTGCTATCTTTCGTGTATAGTTAATTTAATTTATTCTCTTATTTTTTTATTATCGTCAACATGCAACAATCTGAATGTATATCGTGCGTGGCCTGCCTGTGAAATTAGCTGTTTTTGAGAGTACAGTAATTACATCTGTTACCCTGTATATTGTACTGTACTCAAAGAGAGAATCTATTTCCACAGATGACGCAAATAATTTAAAGTAGTTCCCAATTAAAAATACAGCTCTTCCCTTGTTTACTATCTCTTACAAAGTTGGTCTACTCAGTGTTCCATATTCGTCAACCACAAATTAGAAATCGCTCTTGTTATGTGTAATGATAACATACATTTCATTACTATATTTACTATTGTGTATAACCTGCATCGTCGTAAATGCAACAGTGATTATATCCCATGGTATTTATTTTTCAGCATTGAGCTCAGTGTTGGCAGAGTTAGTGTGTAGAGAGTAGGCCAGTTTAAACCTCTCTAATAAACGCGTCTGCGGGTGCTGATGGTAAAGTGGATTATATCGGTACCATGATAGTGCTCATTCCTTGGATGTGCGCAGAGCAGCAGAATACTTTTGTTTATAATTTCTGGTCAACATTATTATAATCATATTTATTCAGTAACGTAGTCATATAGGTTTACAATTGGATAAGCTTGTTTTTAAACTCTACAGTTCAGCATGAATATAGACAATGTAGGTATACGGTACAGGTAGGCCGTGGGAGTTTGCCGTGACAGTGCAGGTAAACAATGGAAACAGTAAGGCAACTTGACCAAGAATAGCAGACAAAACTGTCAGCTGCTTATTTCCAGGAGGAGAAAGGTTTCAAAGAGTGTACAACATTATGAAAAGAAACAATAATTAAGTCCTTCTTGGTGATAAACATGAAAAGTTGGTGACTCAGCCTAAGGCGAGTCAAGCCGGAAAATATTGCTGAAAGATTTTTTTAGTCTAGTTAATCCTAAGATCACGTTTTCTTAACCTTATTTTCTGTTAATAGAGAACAATAAGGGAAACTTGTGTATTATGTATATTTTTCAAAGCATTTCAGGAAAATAAATTTCTTACCACATTTATATATGCAACGTTTAGTATTTTTTTGTGAGTGAAAGACCATGTATCCATATTGTTTTATTTTATTTGTGAACATAGTTTCTTTGAACTGAACTGCACAAGGACTAACGATGCCAAAGCCTGTATTCCTCTTGAAATATGATCTTTGCTCACATCTCCGATGGTATTTCCTGACTGCTCTTACTGGGGTGATCATCGTTCATGTACTCTAAACTAATAAATGGAATGATTTACTGATAATGAAATGAAATGATGAAATTAATGGATAAAATGGTAATCTAGATAAAGTCCTCTACTCTAGCGATAAAGTCTAAGGGAAACTCACACCATATTTTACTATCACAAGTTTTTTTCCAGACTTATAACTTATAAGTCTGGAAAAAACATAAGAGCTGGAGTCTTTCTCAGTACTGATTTAGAAATAAAGTATAAGAAGGGTAATCCCGTGTGGTGACCGTATCGTAAAGGTAGTGGTTGTTGTTGTGGGTCTGGATGTAACATTCTACCACTATACATTGGCCACGGCTTAAAGACCTTAGTACAAGACTTAAGCTATAGAAAGATCCTTGTTTTCAGAGATCAAAGATTTGCACAGATTTGGATTTTCAGCCCAATATTCCGGTGTCCTGTCATTAGAATAACCAGGAACTCCATGTAAAGATGTCTTGCAGCAGCCCCCAATCAGCGGTAAAGATACGTAGGATTCACTTGTCTTCATCTACCATTATAGAGGTACAAGTCACCAACAAGTTCCGTAAGACTGTTTTTTATGCGTTCCTCTAACTTGCGAATGTTGACATCTTTTATAATATTTAATTAGTCCAGAATATTTAGGAGCCTTCCAGTGTCATTCTTCGTTCTAACCTAAGTTTTATTGTAAGATTGTTAAATTTTGGTTCCTTTGTTTTATCAGTTATACAATCAAAACATAAGAACAGTGCGAGTTATATTACTTTAGCTGTTAAATAGGAATGAACCCGCAGGTCACCACAGGCAGAAAAATCGACTTGTAATGTTGCCATCATTTGATCTTCTGTGACAAATTAAGAACACGCTGTAATAGTTATAATCAAATTTGATCTTTAAATTGAAAAGAAAAAGGTGTTTATTAACATGTGTTATGGGTAGCTATATGGGCGGTGGTAACACTGCGGGGGTGTCCATGTTGTCCTGTCATTTGAGTGTTGGGACACGACCTAGTCTTATCCCCTATATGACTTGGGAATCTATTTTCTCCATTGCTTCCACTCTCACGGATCATTATGAAACGTGTTGGTGACCTAGTTCGTGTGAGCTGAAGTCACGCGTGTCCCTTGATTGATAATCTCGCTGTACGAGTTTCCCAGCCTATCGCTGCCACAAAGGTACCTGCCAGACGCATGAGCAATACACAGCGTCAAAATTGGTAGGGTTGGTGGAAATTAGAAATATTATCTTTATACAGTAATTAAGTATTTTTTATGCCCCTTTGACCTTTAAAATAACATAGCCACTCAGAGTTTACAAGACACATTAAAATTTTATTTAACTCACACACTAGCACGCACCGAGTCTGGTATGGATGGCGGCGCGCGGTGTGTTTCAGGTGGCTGGCAACACTGTATAGGGTCCCAGCAGTTTCAATCGTCACTTGCCCGCCAGCTTTCAAACTGGCCGGATTGACTACTGACCTGACAACCAAGGTTCTCACATACCGGGTCGGCACTGCTTTGACCCCAGGGTGTTATTTTGGTGTGTAGCTGTCAAGTACCGTGGGTTTGTAGCTGCAATGAAGCTCTCAGCCAAGGATGCTGTGTTTATTCAGCTTGGCCTGCTGTTTTTAACCAGTGGTAAGGTTCACCATTGTTTAGCAACTTTGAAACTGCAGCATATATGTGAGATACAGGCCACATTATCTTCAAGCTGTAGATGTGTATTTTCCCTTGGATATCAAAGTAATAATTTTCTTACAGGTATAGTCAAAATATATGGAGTACACCAAAACATTTGAAAATTTCTTGATGAGATTTATATTTTTCGTAAACAGGATTTTTTTATAACCAAAACACATAATCACACTACAGTCAGGTGATTTACATTCAGACAATACTGTACTAACACTCAAAATGTGAACAAACTGAGACCCGGGTTCTCAAGGTTTTTAAGTTATAATTTACCCTTAAATAAGATTAAGATAAAATGTCTGGTAGTTTCGCAGTGCAATTTGATGTTCTGTTTCTATTGTTATTTCGAGCTAAAGTGAACCAATTAGTTCTTACAGCGAACCCTTGAGGATCAGCCGTGTGTGATAACAGAGGTCTGGAGTTTCCCTTACTGTGGTGAACGATGTCGATTGGAAAAAAGTTCAATTACGCGCCAAAAAAATGGCCAACCTGAAGCAAGCATTCAAAATCACCAAAAGAAAAACCGATTCAAATTTTAATGCGCCCCGTTCCCAGCCAAAGTCGGAAGGCATTTGAAGCAGAACGTTTTGAACTTTTGGAAGTGGTGTTAGAGGTGATAGAATTTTCTCAAGGTGGAATATCATAGAAAAGGCATATACCCTCCCAGGAGGTCTCGCAGGCCCGTGGAGGGTGTGGAAGTGACGGTACTATTGAGTGGAGCTCTTCAGGGGAGTGTGTGACGGTGGATGTAACTCTAGCATAATGAGGTCGATGTTTGTGTACTTGATAGTGTGCTTGTGTATGTGGTATAGTGTGAAGGATAGTGTGCTTGTGTACGTGGTATAGTGTGCTTATGTATGTGGTATAGTGTGAAGTGTACTTGATAGTGTGCTTGTGTACGTGGTATAGTGTGCTTGTGTATGTGGTATAGTGTGCTTGTGTATGTGGTATAGTGTGCTTGTGTACGTGGTATAGTGTGCTTGTGTATGTGGTATAGTGTGCTTGTGTATGTGGTATAGTGTGCTTGTGTATGTGGTATAGTGTGCTTGTGTATGTGTGTATGTGGTATAGTGTGCTTGTGTACGTGGTATAGTGTGCTTGTGTATGTGGTATAGTGTGCTTGTGTATGTGGTATAGTGTGCTTGTGTATGTGGTATAGTGTGCTTGTGTATGTGGTATAATGTCCTTGTGTATGTGGTATAGTGTGCTTGTGTACGTGGTATAGTGTGCTTGTGTATGTGGTATAGTGTGCTTGTGTATGTGGTATAGTGTGCGAGGTGTAGTGTGCTTGTGGAAGTGTACTTGAAAACGTGGTGCCAAGTATAGTGTATTTGAGTACTTTGATTGTGTGAAGTGTACTTGATAGTATGATTGTGTACGTGGAAGTGTGCTTGAGTACGTGATACCAGGTATAGTGTGCTTGAGTACGTGATACCTGGTATAGTGTGCTTGAGTACTTGATAGTGTGATTGTGGTCACTTGATAGTACTTGATAATGTGATTGTGGGCTCTTGATAATGTGATTGTGGGCTCTTGATAATGTGATTGTGGGCTCTTGATAGTGTGATTGTAATAGTGTACTTGATTGTGTGAAGTGTACTTGTTAGTGTGATTGTGTGTACGGGGTAGGGTGCTTCTTACGTCATGTGTACATATTTTCCCAGAACTCCCGGGGGCTAATATGTCGTTCGTGACAGAAGTCAATACAATCCGGCTCCTTCAAGACCCCACTATCAGTCGACCGGACGCACAAAGGTTCATACATTAAGTTTTCTCCCCTTAACTGAGATGTGTGAGCGCAAATAACTAACTCATTTAAACTGCAACACAAAGATAGAGGACAAATTTACACTGAGACTACAATATGTTACAATTTTATATTCATACGGAGAATAGATTGAACTTATACAGAGTCCGTGTATTTTGTCAGCGCGTACAACTTATTCTCTTCGTCTATAATTCCAAGATAATTACCAAATTATTATACTTCCTCGTTTGGTATTCATGTCGATGGAATGTGTCGCGGGAAGTATTAGAGGGAGAAGGGTCACGCTGTTACTACGGGCCTAATATATTTTTTTTATAACTAATTATTCTTTGTCGATTCTTTACGTACTGCCAGCTTATTCTACATCATGGTGAAACAACCATAAGGCTAACCAAACATAAACAGAACCTAACCTAATTTAAATGAACCTGATCTAACGTAACCTGACCAATACATATACAAACAAAAATTAACAACGACGACATTGAAGAAAATATATTAGGCTGGCGACCCATTGACTATCGCACCTTGAAGAACTGTTACCGGCTCCTCGTAATCATCCTTGACTGTAGTTTTTATCGTATTTTATTTGTCTTATCTTCTTTTTGTTGACCTCTCCCCATTCTCCCAACTTCTTCCCCCTACCCACGTCTCTATCTCCTCCTATCCATAACTCTCCCTTCCATTTCTCTCTATCCACAACTATCCCTCCTCCCTATCTCTCTCTCCCTTCCCTCTGTCTCACTCTCCCCGTCCACAACTCCCTTCCCCTCCCCCCTCCCTGGACACAACGAGAGAAGCGGCCGTGGTTGTCGCCAACATTATCACCCTATCCCCCCCCCACCGCCCGCCCCCCAATATTTACCTTTCGTAATTACGAGTCACACACCAGACCTTGACTACCTGAGCCGCCAATATCTTGACCATTAAGGCCCAGGATGTCTTGGCTCTGTAGTTAAAGCACACGACTGGTTTTTTGAAGGTCTTCCGTTCGAGCCCTGGCCTTGGCCCCTTGTGTTTTCATAGTAGAGGAATATTAAGACGGGTGTGTCATTGTCTTATTGTTTTGTGATGATAATAGTGATAAAGATAATAATGGTAATACAAATTATACTAAAAATAATAAGGATAACAATGACAACAACACTAGTAATAATAATAATAATAATGATGATGATAATACAAAATAATAGCAATACTTATAAAAATAATGGTGAAGCTTTAAAGCACTGTGTGTGTGTGTGTGTGTGTCAGTGTCTGTCTGTCTGTGTGTTGTGTGTGCTTAGGCGTGTGTCTGTGTGTAAAGAAGACATTTTATAGTTGTGTGTGTGTGTATAATCCCCCAAATCAGTCTCAAACTAACTATGACCTCTGACCTGACCTTTGTAATCGAGTATAACATATATCTCCTGGACCTTTTACTCTTATAGTATATAATCTTCAGCCTCACCTACTGATTCTTGTTTATATACTGGGAAACAAACCTCAATTAATGTCTTTCCTCGTCATTACCTCAATCCCTTAATACATGCGTCTGTAACCAAAGCATCACTGTATTCATTCATTCATTTATGTATTATCTCATATGTATACAGTGTCTAGAAACAAAATGGCGGCGAAATTAAACAAAGACTCGATACTAAGAATGATAGTGGATGAAGGAAAGGTGTTGTGAGTATTATATATTATGGTGAAGGTCATGTTTTTAAGGTGGAGGTTGTGTTTTCAAGGTGGAGGTCGTGTTTTCAAGGTGGAGGTCATGACTTCAAGGTAGCTGGGAGTCTTTAGCAAAATGATCGAGTGTTGTGGTCGCCATGTTGTCGATATTTGTGTCCTTGAATCTGATTGGTCAATTTTTTCTCTCTGTCATATAAATCGTTTCGTAATTGGATGAACTGCGTCAATCACCCTAACTGTCAAGCTCCACCTCGGCTAAGGACAGTGATTGGTAAGGATCTTTCTCTCTCTCTCTCTCTCTCTCTCTCTCTCTCTCTCTCTCTCTCTCCAGTGTTCCCAGTTACATCATCATGGGAGGCCCTCGCGTGCAACAAGGTCATACCCAACGATACAACATCACCAAACAACATCGTCCATGAAACAAAACATCACACAACATCATCAGACCTCGGGGGGTTATATAGTGTGTTTACCTTCTTTGTTTACTGACTCCAGATGTTTAATGTTTCTTCTTACTCTCAACAGTTCACCTGGCGTGTTGACTTCACTAGTGAGGGCACGAGGGGGGTGGGGGAGAGGGACGGAGAGGGTGAGAGGAGGTGAAGAAGGGGGGAGGAGGAGGAAGAGAGGGAAGGAGGAGGAGGTGAAAGAGGGAAGGAGGGGGGGGAGGTGAAGAGAGGGAAGGGAGGGTTGAAGAGGGAAGAAGGGGGAGGAGGGAGGTGAAGAGAAGGAAGGAGGAGGTGAAGAGGGGGGTAAGAGGTGTCGAGGGGGAGGGGGGGAGTATGACATGAAATATTTTGGACTTTGAGGTAACCTTGACCTGTCTCATCCAGCTCCGAGGAACGATACACACATACACTGCCAGTACGCTACTACTGCTACACACACACACACACACACACACCCATACACACACACGCACACACACCGCTACTACGATACTACTACACACACACTATTACTACGCTACTACTACATACACACACACACACACACACACAGCTCTTCCACCACCTCACCTACAGTATACAAGAACTTGTTGACAATTGCTATTCATGGACGCGTTTTGGCAGTACACCGTCATGATACATTGAGTCCATGACGCGTTCCTCCTGACGCCTGATATTGAAAGGTCACATGGTCCTAGTTAGGTTAGGTTAGGTTAAGTTAAGTTTTGTGTTTATTCTACGTGTTTTCCTTCTCTCCTCTCAAGGTTAGGTTAGGTTAGGTTCTGTGTTTTTTCTCAGTTTTTTTTCTGTCTCCCCTCTCTCAAGTGGTCCCAGATGCTCCCCCTTGTGTCTCACGTGTTTACAGCCACTCAGGGAGGCGCTGATGATGGCGTGTTTATTGGTGCAGGAGAGCTGGAACCATTCTTTCTCCCTCACAGTATTATAATCCTTTATGACTGCCCCCACAACTACCACTAACTACCTTTGTCACCACTAGCAAGAACACCATCACTACTACCTAACCTAACCAGACCTAACCAGACCATCTTCTA